CCAGCTGCGGAGCAACACGGAGAGCTCTTGGAGGAGGCTAGCATGCAGCAGGCTGTCAAAGACAACCGAACGCCCTGCGTGGGCCAGGTCTCGGGCAGCCTGTTCTGCCGGTCTGTTAAATGGAGGTGAGCTAGAGCAGTCCTGCCCAAGGGCATCAAGCGCCTGCAGGCATCGTCTCCAAACAAAGGGGAGCAACGGATGCTGTGAGTCAACTTGCAGTGGCGCGCAGGAGGCGGAGGCCGACCTGGGGGTCCTCCTCACCTAGGGCTTGAAGCAAGGGAACGGGCGGCTTGTGCCCTTGCGGCAGTGTGGGAGGCAACGTAAGACCCTTCCCCAATCGGTGCCCCAAGATGCGACTGGCGCCATCGGGGGTGCGCAAAAGCTCCGGCGGAAAGTGGCGCAGCAGGCCTCCGGGAGCGGGACGATGCACACAAGCTCGCACTTGAGAAGGTTGAGGTTGAGGCCAAGCTCGGCGCCCCGCAGCCTCCCGCACTCCCGCATCTCCCGAGCAAGGGGCTGCATAGCAATTGCAAAGAACAAAGGCCCAAGGGTGGTCCCCCTGTTGCACCTCCGGCCGACGGGATGGTGCGAGCACTGCCAAACTGCAGGTGGGTGGGCTGGGCATAGCACCACACAGCAATGCGGGCCAGGGTGGGAAACTGGGCGATGACGGCCGCAAGCATGGCATGTCGCGAAACGCAGTTGAAGGCGTCAAAGTCCAGTTTGAGCAGGACTTTGCGGTTGTCCGCAGCTCGTTGGCTCGCCAGCCAGGCCCGTATGACCTCACCTGTTGCTTCGGACAATGGCCGCGAGCTGTTCAACAAAGGCAAGGGCGTCGCCCGGCTGACGAGCCTCATGCAGGTGTTGGCCCCGGAGCCCAGAAGGACCTGGAGCCGTGTCAGCAGGAAAAGCACGCAGGGCCTTGGCGACCTCGTCGGGGCGCGGGGCCTTGCCGCTGGCACAGCACCCCGATTTGCAACTCCACTTCATGGCATGTGATGGCTTGGCTACAAGGACATGGAGCATAACAAGGAAACACCATGGCCAGGACCATGCTAGCCGTGTCATTCTGGGATTGCGAGTCTGGAGCATCTTTGAAGGCAGCCCTATCTTGGGCTCACATGCCAGGTTGCCGTGCTAGTCGGGGTTGGACAGCGGCTTTCTGTTGATCGCCGGACACTGGATTCGCCACCCGCACTGCGCGCACATCAGCACCCGCTCACTGGATTGAGAATATTGGTTTTTCATCATGAAGCCTGGTGAGGGTGCAAATCGTCAAGCGCCTTGCTCAGGCAGCATGGTCGAATGCGAAACTGAGATGATGCCCCGCAACGATGCCCAGGACCAGCCGCCGACAGCAGAAGAACAGTCTGGTGTAGCTGTTCAGACACTTCAGATAGAGTCTGGGAGTCAGGGAAGCCCGTAACGAATTGAAGAACCGCAAGAAATCGTTGCATGCAACCGGTTGGGTGGATGGCATCCCATGCCTCGAGGAGGTACACAAAGGCCTAGTTGCCTTAAAAACTGCAAGAAAATCGGTCGGTAGTCGACCTTGGAAGTACGCCGCGCTGTTTGTGGAAGAAAACCGCATCCGGATGTGACTCATTTGTTGGGGGTCCCAAGAAGCAGGTCAGGAAGACCTCCCCCTTAAGTAGGCATGGGATGTCTCGGAATTCGCACATGCATGTGCCATTGCATGGCAATCTCGCGCACGTGCACGACGCCGGCGACTGTTTCACGATTTCGCGGGATCTGCTCGAATCGACCGTGCTGTGTGTTCTCGGTCTATGTTTGTCGGAGCTCGGCAGCTGCCCCCTCGATGCCCCGAAAAAACAGGAAAAAAAAGGTGCACTGCAAGTTTCGAAATCCGAAATCCCTCGTGTTCCCCGACAGACTGGCTAGTGCTGTCATTCCGAAAGCCTGCATTCTACAATGCGTGTTGATATTTCTTGGGTCTGAGAACTGTCATATACATGCATAAAACAAATTAGTTCTATTTAGTTCTTTTTGAACCGCCCCCCACCCCTTGCAATTGACTTCTTTTGACTGGGCTCATGTCGCACACGGGCGAGTCTCCTGCTCTGCCGGAAACGCGCTGATGGCTTTGTTGTATCTCGTGATCTGAGGATCTACATGGTCAAGACAAACCTCATACCCTTGGCCTTTCAAGAAAGAAACTCTAGCATCGTCTATTGCTTTGCAACCCTGTTGATTCACAGCACCTTCTTTAAGCCAAGGTAGCCTCTCCCAAGAATGGCACGGATGCCCAGGGTTGGGCGAAACTTTTGGGCCCATCTTAGGATGCGTCGCATAGCAGCATGGTACGAGAACCATGGGCCTCAGGCTTTCGGAGCAAGCTGCAGCAATCACCTCATCTGTGAGCAAGCCACACGCGTGACATGCCACAACGATGCAGTTGGAAGGCAAGCTGATCGACTGAGCAGCGTTGTCTACAGGCTTGCGCCTCAAATCGCAAACTTTCCAGACAAATCTGTGTTTCAGCTGTGGCCAGCATCTGATGGCACAGTCTGAAAGCTTCAGAGATACGGCAGACTGCCGCCGATCCATGGCAATGACTTTTGCCTGTGGCCACATGAGAGCCAGAAACAAACCCAGTAGACCGCAACCTGCGCAAAGGTCTACCACCGTGTCAGGCGCATAATGTGTATTGTTGGAGTTCTGCCGCCGTGTCTGCCGCCGCACGAGGCATGCCACTTCATAAGCTTCAAAAAGCTCTTTCCGTTTCAGCTTGTTTGGAATTTCCCGAGCAATGGCCTCTCCAACTTCATAGAGCAACGAAGCATCGCCACCTTGCAATCAGAAACTTAGGGTGAAATATGGGCTGAGCCAACTCTAGCCGAAGCCCCTCCAAGGTCAAAGCCAACATGCTACGACCCAACCCCAAACATTTATTTTACCGTGAAAAACTAACACAGCATTTCAGGGCAAGATATCAACTTGCAATGTTGAGGGGAATGGAATATTATTTCTTTAATAACATACGCAACGACTTGCGAAGCTTGCTGACTTGCCTTCCCGTGCAGCTCGCGCAAAGCTTCGTACATCACCAGACGAGATGCGATTCTTGGAAGTCTTGTTCCACCGTGATGCCGGCAAAGTGTGTCGCTCCAGGATTGCTGCTATTGCTTCGGAAGGAAACAGAAATGATAGTAAGACAGATAAAGCGAGTGCTGACGGTGTTGGCCACAGCAGCCGGCGCATGCACTTCATGGCAGTGAGGCAAAGGTGCTCATGCAATTGCGCGCATGTGCGCGCATTTGCGCGCGCTCTCACCGGACCCACTAGCAGCCCGAGCCGAACACGAAGGCCGCAACGTTGGCTTCCCTTGATCTCCCCTCTACCCGTTTGCAAATATATTTAACTGATATTGATTGGCCTTGAGCCGGCGCGCGTGCGCAGCGCAGCATCTCTAGAGTAAGACGAGATAGTCAAAGCCACAGAAGCGCAGCAGCGCCGTGCAAAAACAAATCTGGGCACAGTCGTTTCTCGACCGAGATTAGATCTGCGGGGGTTCGTGCGCTCGCCCACAAACTGAGGACCTCATTGTCAGTATGTTTTACTGACATCGAACTCCTAGTTGCTTACAGGATAAACTGAGGCAAGAACGATGGTGTATGCCAGCGTAAGTGCAGCGAAGCAGGCGACCTGATACCTCCACAGGCTGAGCAATTGTGACATGGACAACGCCAAAATCACGCTGGCCTTACTGGAGACAAACCGTAGATCAAGGCAACCTGCGCAAACGATTCATATATCACCGAAGGCCATGAACAATGCTTCAAATCTGAGGCAGCATCGAAGGGCAACGTGATACCATAGTTGCCCTTCAGGAGGCTCCAAAAATCGCGCCGGACCTACGCGATAGTGCACACGAGCCACCATAGCTTGGTCCCACATCCCGTTGTAACCATGCCGGGCATGTATCTACGCACCGAGAAATCCCACGACCACCTCAACATTTGCGACGAGCACGGACTGACCGCAGCCAGGTTATATCTTCATATGTCTTGATGTTGGTTGGATCGGGGATCGTGCCCATTCGCCCAGGAAGCCTATGTCGTTGGACGGCCAGTCGAGTGCATGGTCCCTTTTGAAACCACTGTTGACTACAGTGACTAAAGCACTGAGCTGGTTTCGGCTGAAGGCGCTAGGTCCCGTTGGCGCCTCGGGCCAAATTAGGTAAGAAACAAACTTGCAAGATGTGGCTAAAGGGCATTAAGATGCAGAATTACAATCAACAACCCAGACGAGTTGAACACAGCAGTTGATAAGATGGCATTTGACATAGTAAGAAATTTCGATAGGAAACACGCAGTCAAGAAGCCGGGTTATACTGTCCTTCGAAAAGGGTTGCGTGCCCAGCCGAAAGCCCAAAGAAGCTGAGGGTTGGCACCGGCGTGTAGGCGTACAAAATTCAACTTGCGATTTTTCGGCATCATGCTAGTTGACTTTTGGCACTGGTTGGCTGTCCCACGGACGTTGCCGCCTCAAGCATGCCTCTTTCCGGCCCTCGCCCCTCCAGCAGCGCCATGACCTGACAGGAAGATGCGAGACCATGCAAAACAGCAAAACATTGGATTTGAGAAACTTCTCGGAAAACGCGATTGACCGGCATATACCGGCATGTCCGTGGTGCCAGGGGCGTGGCAAACAGAAAGGTCACGCACCAGCAGGGCGTATATCTGTCGTATATCTGTCGCTCTCAAACGACATGATGGTAACTGGCTGTCAATTGAGAGACTTGGACCGCAACACCGTGGAGTCTGCCAACACCTTGGCCACCGTGTCAACGACCTAGGTCCCGATTTTTCAGATGCTGGCCAGTTGCTGTCGGGAGCTCACATAAACAAATGGCCAATAGGTCTCCAAAATGGGGCTTGCGTGGCTTACATGATGACCTGCATCTCTAGCAGATTATATACCACATGATGACATGCTCTAACCATGGATGGCATCAAGAAAGTGCATCGGGGCGGGGCTTCGTCCCCAGATTTTGGTAACGTAGTGTCGAGGAGTGTGAACCAGTAGTGGCCTCTGAACGGCTTGGAACTGCACACAAACTTACGAGCTTTCTGCACACCATCCCTAGACCATCCCTGGTTTGCAAGATTTTGCAAGCCAGTGGTGATGATCTCAGATCACGACCCGCGCAGCCATCCAACGACCCAAAGGCTGCGAATCGAAGGGCTCGTTCTGCACGCAATGCTTGGCTGTCCTAGACGCATCTATACGCGTCTGTCATCAGTAAATCATGGGGCACTCGAAGCGTTGAATATACATGAACATTCAAGCAGCTCCAAACATCTGGTGTCCTTCCCTTGCATCTCCGATAGCTGCGCCACCACATCAGAAGCACAGTTTAGAACCGCAGCTGTGGCAATATCCTTGCGTGGCGGGCGACAAACGAACTATGACAAGCAGTTGGCCGATGTCGATCACGTGCGCTTGCATGCACCGAGGGGAATGGCTGTAGCCAAGCCCTGCGAATCCAGCAAGGCTTCATATCCTGCATGCGCTGGCGCTTGGCGTGGTGCTACAAGCAGCCGAAGTGAAATATGAGCATGGGGCTTGCCCTCAGCTGTGAAACAACATCGTGAGAAAGGCACTTGTGAATGGGATTTTGTGCGCGCACGCGCGCTTGCTACTCTGTTGCTCCTTCCCAAGCAGACTCCGCCACCAACTGAAGCTCTGCCATACTTGCACGGCCTCGTTGTACGACGTGACAATACGTGACACATACAGTATAGGGCTCCCAATGCTGCGTGGATCTTGACTAGTGACTAGTGACTAAGCCGGAGCCCAGGCCTGCAAGGATACAACATAACTAAGAACAGGAACAATAACAAAACACAAGAACAAGAATAACAACACGAACAAGAACAAGAACAATAATAATAATAATAGTAATAACAGCAGCAGCAGCAGCGGCAGCGGCAGCGGCAGTGGCAGCAGCGGCAGCGGATGGCAGCGGCAGCGGATGGCAGCGGCATCCGTCAAGGTATCGACCTGTTTGTCTTCCCTCTCGCCAGCCTAGATGTTGTTCCAGATGGCAGACAAAACTGCAGAGCCGTGAGGCCACTCTTGTGCTTCGTTCTGCCGAGCTCTCCAGCACTTCGTCTGCCGAAAAAGTAAGCCTTCTCGGTGTGACGTATGCCTTCTCTGGTCCAACTATAGCTGCCTGCTCCTGCCTGCTCTCTGGGAGGTAGATGGTAGTCGGGACAAAGAGAGACTCCATCAGGATTTCCAGCACGACTTCGCGGGGTAGGGGAGGCATAGCACTGGGCGTGGCCAGGAGGCGACCTCACTCGGCTACGTTCTTTGTAGATTTTTTCGAGCCAGGCTTTGGATGCTTGGAGCTGAGGCACGTGCGTGGCAAGACAACCGAGCGTCTGAGGCATAGGCTGATGCACAGGCATTGCGATATGATACTGACCTCGGAAAAGAGAGAGTTTAGGAGGACAGATTAGGATGTGCATGAAAAGCATGATGTGAGCCATGAGATATGTAGGCGCATTAGTGTAGACTTGATGATGATATTTATTCCCGCGTGGTCTGGTTTCTGAGAAGTGGCAGGTTGACTCTGCCTAGTCTGTACAAAGATTGTGATTTGAGTCAGGAGGAGACCTCACTTGAACTCAGCAGACGGCGCTGTAGCCGATAGGCCCGCTGCCTTCAGAATAGCGTGGCGGAATACTGCCCTCCTCTCTGGCGTAAGCATCTTGAAGGCCAGAATCCAGGGGACCGATTGATCTATCACTTCGTTAGCCAGAGGGGAGATTATGACGAGCAGTCTGGACTGGGTTTTCGGGTCTTCCGGAAAATGAGATTCGATCTGCCCTTTGAGCTGGAGAGTGAGATGGAGCTTGCCATATTTCTCTGGCACGGTCGTATTGTGCCAGAGGACTTCAATTGATAGGATCTCAGCGGCTGTGATGGGATGCGACAGCCAGGTCCTGCCCAGCTGAAGGTCAGCCGTCATCTGTTGGTGATCATCCACGTCCAGAAGGTCACTTGCTTCCAGAAGGTGTTCTTCGTAGCAGAGGAGACGGAGCTCGAAGCTGGAGTGAATGAGACATAAGCTGCTTGCAGTCTTCGTCCGAGACTAGCTGAACTTGGTGCGTGCTTCGCTGCGGATCTGGGTGTCAGGCCTGGAGCGTAGTGTCCTGAGGGTTGCTGCTTAGCAAAGGGATAGAGCTGACTGATCCCTGATAGAGGCGTGAAGCGTGAAGTGCTATCGCAAGCTCGTGCCACAGGGAAGTAAATTTTCGCTCGCTACCTGTCTGATCGGAGTCTTGAAATCTGTTTGGCAGTGCGCTTTTGACTTGCCTGTGCCTGTGCTTCAGGAGGAGACCTCACTCGACTTGTAAGGACTCTAGGAGTCCCAGACATCTGCAGAAAGGGAAATTGTAGTGTCCCTGAAGATCCTTTGAGCCTTGTCGACGCCCGATGGAGTTTTTAGCAGCGAGTAGAAATGAATGCTGTACAGTAGGAGGGACCTGTCTATGATGATCAGTGAATGCCTGCTTGGCTGCCTTGATTGCTAGCTTGTCCTCAGCAAGGTACTCCAGGGAAGAGAAGAGACCTCTGATGTGTTCGGCCACGGAGGTAGTCGCTTTGTGAGGAATCGGAGGGTCTCTATTCTGCCACGCTGATGCATCCAAAGCCAGAAAGAAGGGGAAGTCGATGCTCGACTCTGGAGAGATCCTTCGACCTAGATTTGCCCAACCGCAGTCTCGAACGTAGTAACCCAAGAGGGCCGCTTTCAATACAAGCAGTATCAGCAGGTAGCACTCATCCATGTTTGGCCGTAGATATGGAGGTAGGTTATCGAGGGGTTGGACTTTCTCCACCATAATGCCGTACGCCTGTTGGTACAGCAGAAATTTGGGAGGACCTGCATCTCCTCGCCAGGAGGTGACCTCACTCGGCGTAGGGGAGATGGGGAAGTCCAGTGGATTGACCGTGGAGGCGACTCGGATTTGGATGGCAAATAGGTTCGCCATTTTGGGCACCATCTCCGGGAAAAGACGAGCCAGATCAAGTTCAGCCTCATGAGCTTGAAGGCCGTCTTGCGCGCCCTCTTCAGGTGGAGCCACCACCGCCAGTTTGAACACAGAGTAAAACTCGCCACCCTTGAAGTTGTAGACGGCCCTAGTGACGCCTTTCATGGATGTAGTGCGGTTCAGTTTCAGTGTCATCTCCACTGGGTCTGCGTCGAGTTTCTGCACTTGTACGTGAACTTGCAGCTCCAGCGGAAATTCGGTGGGGTATGAGAAGGGAAAGGAGTGAATGATCTTCTTGCCCTTTTCTTGTTCCTTCTTGGTGGCAATTCGAGCGTTGACCGTTTCAGAAGGAAGAACAACTCCTTGGTGAACCGGATAGTCCAAGAACTCAATTGGCGGGGGAGCTGCTTTGGTGAGGTTGATAACCTGAAGGGGACGTTCGAGCATCGTCGTCAGCATTCTCCTGAAATGTTGTCGGCCTTCTGGTAGGAGGAGAGGGCGGGGGAGGGGGATGCCTGATGATGCACTCCTTGAGTCCGACTCCAGCTCCCGTGTACTCTGAAGATCTTGGCTTCTTACTGGTTGCCCACGGTGGGGCATCCGAGTCAGAGTCTTCCTTGCAGGTTTCTTGCCTGCCCACTCCCTCTCCCGCATAGGGCTGTGGCTTGTGCTCGTGAGCCGCTTGACTTCCAGTGGCGTTCTCGGATTTGTTAGAAGAAGCAGGTGTAGCCGAAGATGCCGCTTCTGTGCCCGGCTGCCCACTCCTCGGAGGAGACCTCACGCTGGAGTGAGCAGACTGGGAAGTTTCGACGGATATCAGGGAGAGTGACGAGAGATGCTTGTAGACGTCGAGAGTGGGGAGGGTGGCCAGGTCGTCTGCTGTGAGGCCTGGCTTCTTGATGCCCAGGGCTTCCAGTCTCTTGCTTTCCTTGTCGGCCTTGCGCTGAGTGGAGATCGGTCGGCGGGACTGTCTTGCCATCATGCTCTTGGAGATTTCTCTGAGACCTTTTTCCCATCTGTAGCTCATAGCTCTGATCTCGTCCATGCGCTTGTGAGAGATAGGGACATAGTTCGAGGGGAGCAATCTGTCAGCTTCCGTGCATATGTTGGAAGCCAGGTCGAAAGCCGGGTAGAGGCTTTCGAAGGTCTTTTCTTCGGAGCTGTTCTGGCTTTCTTGGCTTTGAGCCCAATCCTGCTGATCTTTTGGCTGCATTGCTGGTCCGAACTTGTATTGTTCTGCACCGCAGTTGAGGATTGTGAAAGTTAAATTAAATTAGATAAAAGTGGCAGCTGTCTGAGCGCTCAGCACTTCTTGGAGTACACCTGAATGACATGGGTTAATTCAGAGCGGAAAGGAAAGAAGTGTGCGGCCGTGCTTGAATGGGCTCTTTAGTGCAGACTTTGTTTGTTTTCTGCAGGCTCAGGCTTGGCACTCAACGTCGGGTGACATGGAAATTGTACATGACGGTGCTTCCTGCCAGCAGGAGGAGACCTCACACGCTGGTTCAAAATTTTAGCCGAGCTCTCAATGAGAGTCTGCTACCAGTACCTGGAGCGGGCCTGTTGGACTGCCCAGGCGTCCCTGCACCCAAAGCAACAGTGCCACAGATGTCCTTGCTATGGCATTGGTCACAGCCGGCACCACAAGAAGATGTTGAAGGCGTAGGTGCCGATGCTTTGGCGAGCGCCTGAGTCGTTGTTGCCTGGCCAGTAGTCGTGTTGGTATAGGTGCCAGGGGCGTTGTCGATGGCGAGAATCGTGCCCTCTGGGTTGTTGGCCATGGCTTATGATGCAGGATTGCAGGTCGCCTGATGAGCAGAGCTGGCTATAGGTGGACCAGGGGCTCCAATCAGCTTCCACAGCAATGCTGCTAGTCTCATGCTTGGGCAGCGCAAGGCTGACCCTTCGCGAGCCTTGGTCTGATCTCTGATCAGGTAGGGAATCGAGATGCGTCCAGCCTCAGGGTTTCGACAGGAGAGCTGAATTTGACGAAGATGGCGCCAGCTTATTCAGAGGGAGCAGGTTTTCCGGCGTTTGGCTGAGCAAGCTGTGGTCCGGATGGTCTAATGAGGTTAGCCTCGTGATTGCCTCTGTTTCTCCCAGGAGGAGACCTCGACTCGGGAGTTGAGGTGAGGCTAGGTTTTTTGAAATGCCTAGAAATTAGGCAGACAGAATTGGCGCATGTCAGGAGGCGACCTCAACTCGCGTGCTAGAGGAAAATCAGTCCTCCTGGCTCTTTGTTCTCAAAGAGTCAAGCTGGTCTCTTAGCGCTTGCATCTGCGGAGACCTCCGAAGGCCCTCTCTGCGCATGGTGACTCCAATCAGATTCCAGACCGAGTTGTTGGCCAGAAGGCGGAATGCGTGCATGGCCTCATGATCTTCGCCTATTGTCAATGCCAGCTCCAATAGGAAGGCTATGACCGGCTTTTCGTCCGCAAGGTTCGTCTTCAACGGTCTAGACGGACGGAGCTTGGTCAGTTGGTCCTGGTCCAGCTTGAGCATGGCCGCAAGCTGCGTGGATACAACCTTCGGCGAGAGAGGTGGACGCTTCACGTCGACCACAGTCTTCTTCTGCTTGGAGTCCCATCGCATGTAGTTCCAATAATAGGGAGGGTTCTCGTCCGTGTGATGCCTGCCCCTGATGGTCAGGGCGCTCGCGAGGGTGACAATCTCAGTGTCCTTGTCCATGTTT